GCTGAGAGTGAGAGGGTGTGCTGCTGGAGGACTGAGGAGCACAAGCGTTATCAGACACCAGGAGGAAGGTCCTGTGGTGAGAATAAGGAAGGTGTTTGGAGGAGGCCATGGGGAAGTAGCCCAGGGAGTTTTAGCTGTCATGCAGCTGTTACAGGAGGCACTCTAGACAGCTGCAGTCCACAGGGCCCTGGGCTGGAACCCGGAGTAGAGGGTGGGCCCGGGTTCCCCCCAAACCTCCCAATTGACCTGGACTGTGGGTTCTTCCAGAGGGGAAGGTCTCTGGGCTGTTCCCTAACCCACATGGTGAATCTCTGAGGCAAGAAAATCTGCCAATAAGCGCAGGACCCACCAAGATAGAGGAGGAACTTTGTCACAGTAGACATACCCTTAGTCACACTTACTTCTTTCACATACAGGGACAGGAGGATCCCATCTACCATCATCTTGACACTGAGTCTCTGGGCTGCCGCTCAAGGTGTAACCAGGGTCGCATTCAAACACAACAATGTCTCTGGGTCTGTAGGCAGGCTGTACTCCATTTGTTCTTCCATTCTTCACTTCTGGGCTTATGCACGTGGCTGAAAGGGAAAGCATAACAAACTCTTTAGACTCCTACGCAAGTGTGGGATGGAATGGACAGAGCCATTTCCTTTGATAAGTCTTTTACTGTACTTCAATTTCATAAGTATTTCTACTCTCTGATGTCCTCTTGTCACCTATGTTCATGCTGAAAGAATTGACATTACCCACCAGCACTCACAGAATCATAATTCATGGTATGAGTGGATGCAAAGCCACTGAAGTTAAAGGAGCTTCTCTTGAAGGCAGTGACTTTAGCCCGTGTGTCTTGCTAGAAGTTTAGTCCCCAGCTGTGGAATTTGCTGAAATGGTGGCTTGTCTCATGGTCTCAATTTAAATCCTTTTGTGTGTCTGACACACGGAGCGAGGCAAAGGGAAGCAGCAAACAGAACAGAAACGCACCTTCACATTGAGGGTGCAGGTTGCTCTAAGCTCCAGATGCTGTACAATGAAGTGATGCCTCCCCAAAAAGGGAGTAGTCGGGGGAGAGTTCTGCTGATTTGTGTTTCCAATCACACCTTTAGGACGCTCAGTGAGACAAACCATTGCCAGATCTCTGTCTGTCAGGAGAGTAGGGCAGGATGCAGGTGATCAGCTATCACAGTGATGAGCACAGTGAAGAGATCAGGGGGTGGGCGGATATTTGTATGTTCCCCATTCACAGCTGAAAAGTGACCCCAGGATTCAAAGGATGTTTATTTTTTAGACTCCAGGCACAACCCTACCAGATGTTGATCATCTCAGTTACCCTGCAGTCAGCCTAGATTCACACTTACCCTGTATGCAGACTGGAACTGGAGGATCCCAGGTTCCTTCAACTTGGCACTGAATCTGACGGCTGCCATTCAGGGTGTAGCCAGGATCACATTCAAACCTAACTGTGTCCCTGGGTCTATAGACAGGTCCACGTCCAGCTACTTTTCTTCCATTCTCAATTTCTGGGGCGATGCAGAGAACCTCTGAAATTGGAAAGGTGCAGAAGGAGTCAGAATGCATCGGCAAGGGGTGATGTTCAGTGGGCGTTTGGCACCTGTACTCTGCACTGATTCCCTACCAGTTTCTGGGGAGAGTTAATGGTGTTGCTTTTAACCTCTAAAATGCAAACACTTTAGTGCTAGCCTGCCTAAAACCACATCCCACGGGTACCATACTGCTCCTCTTGTGGTGAATAGAGGCCCCAGATGGTTCCCTCTCAATGAGAAAGAGAGCAGGGCTGGTGGGAGAGCTTCCTGTGAGGGGCCCTGAGTTTGCATACAGCACATTTATTTTCAAAAGCATTTATTTCACCCGGTCTCTAATTAAATGGAGCGTTAG